TTGCATTACTGAAATAAATGAACTTTTGCATGATATTCTAATTTTTCGAGTTTCACCTGTATGTAATATTGTCAAAATGGATATGCTCATTTTTCAACACAGTGGGATGAATGAATCAGTAATACACACCAATATCTGTATGTAGGAATTTGTTGTTATTTTTATTAATACAGCAAAGAGCAATACATACCAACTTCCTGAGTTCCTGATTTGAAACAATAATCACATTTGGAGGATCCCCAATAGCTGTTGCAGCCCCTCCAATATTTGTGAAGATAACTTCAGCAATCAGGACATGCCTGGGATCAAGATTGAGCACCTCACATAACCTGCAAAATTCCACAAAGAAAATATCAGATAATATTCTTGCTGGAAGACTTTTTAAAAACATTATTAATATTTCTCTTAAAAACATAACAAAAAAACAGAGCCTATTAAGAGCACCTGAACTATCATACAAAAATTAAGAATAAAGCAAAATATATCATCTGTATAACTTGAGTTAAATGTTAAATATTAACATAGTTTTCCCTTTAATTTTTGCTCCAATAAAATTAAAGTGCAGTATGGACTATGCCTGATAGGTCTTCCATTAATATACCTTGAATATTTCAACCTTTCAATTCAAAAACAGGAGAAATAATAGGGTTTGTCTCAGTTTTTTTCATTGAAACCCATGGGGCTCCTGACAATGTCTGTAAAGTATGAAGAGTAATAGTGATGACAGAAGTTGGAGTCCAACCATGTTGAGACAGCTACAAATTGTCCACCCCTACTTTATGGTTTGAGGTTGGAGAAGAACAAATTAAAAAAGATGTCACAGAGTATCTTAAAAAAATGAGAATGTCTATGTGTGCAATAACAATATCACTGGACCAGAACAAATTATTTTGCAGAAACATGCAACATCCATAAAACCAATTCTAATGAGTAAATTTTGCCTATTAAGGGATGTTATAGGATTCTCTTCTGGATCCAGATTTATTTCTAATTTTTCACAATGTTTTATATGAAGAAGCAATGTTGAGTAGCAGTGTCATGGAAACATGAGCCAGAATGGGTTTGGGTTTATTTGTTTGTTTCCTTAAACGCAAGCTGTGGTCTTTTCTTCATAAAAAGTGAGTTTGCCACAAAACCTAAGAAAATAAGATCATATTTCATGCATCATTGGTAAAAAGCTAAATCCCTATTGTCAGGGAATCAGGAGAATTTGCTACTAAGCTTCATCACTATGGTAATAAGAGCTTACAAAATCATTTTAAAATTGGACTGAAAAAGACTGGGAAAGACAGTAACAATAACTGGATGATTAACAAAACCATGTAAGAGATAAAATATATAACTTATTTAAAAAGTCTTTTTTTAAAAAAAAAACTATTACTATACATGAGATCCCCGCTATAATATGAAAACATTTGTTTATTCACTCATTCAATATGTGTTCCTCATTCTATTTGGCAAGACATTCAAATGAATAAAAAATATTTGAATATAGAAATTGTGTTTAATATTGTTTCCAATTAAATCAACATTTCAAAACCAAGCAGGGGGAAAAAGACATTCACCATAAAATTCTAGTTTTGTCACTTCCTTAAAGTGAAAGATTGAATTCTGCCACCTTGATAAGAGAAAATAAGTCAATTCATAGTTAAACTACTATTGTATGAAGTAGATTTGACTGTTTAATCTTCTGTTCTCACACTCAAATCAACAAGTAGGTTGACAGGAATCTCTAGAATAGTGACCCCAACCAGGGACCAGTTCCATGGACAGGTTTTTCCATGGACCAGAGGGGGTGTCATTTTCCATGCTGCCTGCATCCCACAGATGGGGCTTTCTTTGTTTGTGCAGCCTGGTTCCTGGCATGGTGCACACTGGTGCTGGTCCATGGGGGCCCCTGCTCTAGAGCATGAATAGACAAAACTTGCGAGTATGATGCCCATAATTCCTTAACATGTTGACTATGTCTGATGCTGACTGAAGTTTTAAAAAACAGAAAGGAGGAGTGGGGAAATACACCTAGAAAAAGAACTGAATGAAGTAGTTCAGTTCAGTTTCAGTTTATTAAATTTATATGCTGCCCTTTTCCCCCGAAGGGGACTCAGGGCGGCTCACAACTCGAACTGGGGAAGGGGGATACAGACAAAAGATTTAAAAAACAGCAAGCATAACAATAACAATATATAATTTAAAACTCACAACAGTCATACCATTCGAGACGGGGGCAACAGCTCTTTANAGCTTTGAGATAAATAAGTTAGTAGTAGTACGAGCAATGGTACTTCCATTGCCTTATGTCAAACTTCCTTTTAAATCTCTCTCTTCTGTGTGTGTGTATGTATGAGTATGTGAGTGTGTGTGTGTGTGTGAGAGAGAGAGAGAGAGAGAGAAAGAGAGAGAGAGAGAGAACCTTCAAGTCAAGCTTGAATCCTGGTAATATACATGTCTTTTTCTTTACAATATAAAAATATTCTTGCCATATATGTCTATAGATATATAATATCTTCATCTTCCAATCTAGTCTCTAAATTTTAAAATGTCTGGAGTCTCCTTGCATTTCAAAGTGCAATCTTGTGAATTCCTTGCTCATCCTAAGCAACTGAGTAGCAGCAGAACACCCTCAAAAAGAATATGAAAACTGAAGAAATCTAAGCAATGAAGAACAGTGAATGAGGTTTTTTTTTATAAACATTCAGTACTTGTTTGATTGGTAATCAGGGGCAACTTTGCAGACACTAAATTGATTGAAACAGCTGTTTCAAACAATTCTGTTGAAGGTTATCACAGAACTACAGCAATTAAAGATTGGAAAGTCCCATTAAGACATCTTGCACTCATTTTGTTACTTCTCTGAAGCCAAATTGCTTCAGATCCCTTTTAATGAAATGTACTTTGATCACCCCTCTCATCTCCTTTCCCAGAAATCATTAATAGAACTAGTACAGTACTTCAGTATTTGCTTTTATTGAGCAATGAGCAAGTACTGATTAGCTTCATCATGATGTAACCACTGCTGATTGTAGGAAGGAAAAAGTTTACTAATTATGACAACTGCTGAATCTGAAGATAGTAATGAGAGAATAACACAGATGACATCTAATTTGAGTTTGAATACGCTTCTTTACTAAATATGTTTAACCATTTTGGTTAATAAAACGCAAGAATATTGTAGATGATTATGCTCTTTTAAATAACAAAGCATAGGATAATACCATTTTCTTTAAAGACTTCAAGACAGTTCAGCCTTGGGATGTTCAACTCCTAATAGTTTTCAGAATACCATTTAAGATTTCAGAGTAATTGCTATTAGCTGCTCCTAAAAATGCCTTTTATGCTTGCTAACAATGATTTAAAAAAAAAAAAAGAAAGCACGTGTTTAAGAAACCACTGTCTACTAATTTAAAATATTAAACAAAAAAGTGGAATCAAGACTGACGTTGTAGTCAAGGTTGACTCAGACTTTCATCTTTCCAAGATTAGTAAAATGAGGACCCAGATTGTTGGGAGCAATATGCTGACTCTGTGAACCATTTAGAGAGAACTGTAAAGCAGTGCGAAGCAGTATATAAGTCTAAGTGCTATTGCTACTATAAAGAATAAAGCTGGGGATTGAGGAGCCATATTAATTTTCACACTGGATAAAAGGAAGAACCATTATGTCAACATCTGGATCAAGGCTATCACAAGTTCAGCCAAGTTGTCTGTTGATTCTGGAAGATTAAAACACCTAGAATTTAAACTTGTAGCATAGAATATATAAGGACTTTGATTTCTTTGTACCACGTTTCTCCAAAAATAATTGTCAGGCCTTATTTTTGGGGAGGTCTTATTATTTTTGAGGTGCAGGAGGAGGTGAGCATGGTCACCTCATGGCTGCTGCTGTGTTATAATATTTTCAGGGAGGGCTTATTTTGGGAGAAGGGTTTATTTTAGCACATGCGCTCAAAAGCCCAATTGGGCTTATTATCCGGGCAGGTCTTATTTTCGGGGAAACAGAGTACTACAATAGAAAATTCTTCTACGTATATATAGCTTCTTTTCTGTCTGCAGTAAAGAGATTAATCTCATTCCAGTCATGTCCATTAGCATTCTGTCACATAAGCCAATTCCTTCATAAGCAATTAAGAGTATGTGCAGCTGAATTTAAAGCCATATCTTTGTAATGCCTGGCATCAACATTTGGCACATGCCAGCCCAAATGACTTTACATCTGATTCCTAGCAAATGTTATTTTAAATCAACTACCTGTGTAATATTCATTGTGTCTGATAGTCTTAAACACAATCCATAATGTGCTGTCCATAGCAAACTTAATCACTTTATAAGCAGATAAATTATTCTGGAAAAGGAATATAACAAATTCTCAGGGTTGAAGCATACTATAAATCCAATCCATATTTCAAAACAAAACACCCTTCTTAATGTTTCATTTTATCAAGTAAATCAGATCAATATCTACCTTGTTTCAATTTTCCACTCACCAACAATCTCACTTGGCTCTTTGTTATAGAGTTTCTTGTTCCAGTAAAGTAGTCGTAGAAAAGGAAAGGAAACCAGAAGTACAAGACAAATTCCAATAAACATATGCCCTGTAAATGCAGCAAAGTCCAACCCCTAGGAAAAAATACAGTTGAAATACAGTCAGCTACAATGGTTTTACTCAGTGAAAATGGAAATCAAAAGCATCTGCTGTTTTATGTGATCAGACAGTTTTTTTAATAGCACCCTTAAGGTCATGTCTCTTTTGGAAGAAGCACATCTTAAGGTGAGCTCTCAAATTCCACTTACAGTATATCTTCCCTCACCTAGCTTTCCATAGCAGGAAATATGCTCACCTTTTCTGATTAAAAATGGCTGCCAAGTGAAAGAAATTTAGAATTATACTTTTTACACTTACTCATGCAACACTCACGCAACACACACACATACACACACACACACACACACACACACATTTGCACCTCCTTCTGATCAGTTACACTACCCTGGAAGATACTTTAATATAGCATTTGTCAGTGTAGCGTGATGAATTGGCTTAAAAAATAGCTTTCACCTCCCGAGTCTTNAAAGTTCCATCCGTAAAATAAAATTTTAAGAAAAGGATAACACACTCTAATGTAGCTTAATTTCGCTGCTTGTTCTCTTCTGTTTTCAAATTTAATTTAGCTTTAATTTTTTTTTTGGGGGGGGGGAGTCTCTTTTATAATAATAAGATTTCCTCACCAGATGGACATGATTTTACTTTCCGTTTTCCTCCCATTCCGGAGCTGTCCCAACTTCAGCAGCTTCAATGACTGTGCTTCTGTCGCTGGCAAAAAGAGATTCTTCTGGATCAATCAGGTACTTTGCAGTGTGCCTGAGATCAGCAGGATGTACTCTTCCCTGTCACCATTTTTTTTGGGACAGTTTAGGTCCAAAAGGACTGTCCAGCGGCAAAAATATCAACTGCAATCTTGGAGCTCCAAGATCGCACACTGTGTCATTGTGACGTCAGCTCCTCCTTCGGAACGAAAGCATTGTTGTCTCTCAGAACAATACCTTGTTTCGCTGGTCCAGAGAGAATCACAAGTGACTTGAAAAATGGTTTTTATATTACCACTCAAAGAGTGAGCATATACACTGTTACAGTGCTGATCCACTTGGAAATGCTTTTATCCTGCTAAGTACTTTTCTAATATTTTGTGCCAATCACAGATTAATGCTTCCATGAAAGAATCATTCACAACATCCCATTTCAGAAGTTCCTGCCCTTGACAAATCTGGCGAAATCAAGACAATAGCATCACTACATTTTTACTCGCATGGCACACAGATCTATTAATGTGATCATAACCTTAGTTGGCTGAGTTAGGAGAAAGTTCTATCTTTTTAATTAGCCGATGTCTTCAGTAATATTCTTTATAGCTAACTCAGTGTAGAGAATCTAATTTCAGGAGCAATTATTTTATACAGACAGATTTTAAACTATGTTTATTGGCTTTAGCTTTTGCTTAAGTATTGACCAATTTTACTACAATTTCTGAAAGTTTGATTTTTTTTATAGTAAAGCAAAAAAGTAAATGAATTAAAACTTCAGAAACAGCTGTACATCTTCATCTATCTCAGAATATTGATTTATTATTGCTAAAGGAAGAAAAAACTGGGGGGTGGTATGGAAGAGGACATGTCAGACGTCATGCAATTTAAAAAAAACTCCTTAGTTTCACTACAGGTTCTACTTCTATTTTTATAGTATGCTATTTTGTTTCTATTTATATATGCTTCATACATATATGACTATCTGAACATTTTAACTCCTTGCCCAAAGTGGAAAAAATAAAATATTAATGCAATCAAATAAATAAATGTACTGCAATACATATGACAATTCAAAAAATACCTTATAGTTACTGGAGTAAAGAGGAGCACTGTAGTAACATTGTCCAGAAAGGCTGATAGAATTGCAGCAAAAAAACAGAGAATGATAATCATGGCCCACACTTTACCTCGAGAAAGTCTATAAGCCTAGTAAAAAGATGCAAAAAAATATTAGTGAAATAGATGAAGGTGATCAACAACATGGTGCAAATTTCAACAGATCAACTGTTCTTCTCATGATATATATTAGGGATTCTGTTGATCTCAAGAGAAGAGTTGAAATTCTAGAGCAGAGGTGTCAAATTCAAGGCCCAGGGGCCAGATCCAGGCCCGCAGTGTGCTTAAATCTGGCCCACAAAGCCACCCTGGAAACAGCAAAGGATCGGCCCACGGTGCCTCTGCCAGTGAAAATGGGTTCCTGAGCTCTGTTTTTGGCTGCCACGGCCTTCTGCAACCCTCTGCCAGCAAAAACTGGAGGCTCTGTTTTTGCTGGCAGAGGGTTACAGGAGGCCATGGCACCCAAAAACAAAGCTCAGGAACCCATTTTTGCGGGCAGAGCACTCGGGCCCCACAGGCGCCCCGACACGAGTGATGTCAAGCTGGCCACATCTACCCCAGCCACACCCACCTCAAGGTCAAACACAACCCTGATGCGGCCCTCAATGAAATTGAGTTTGACACTCCTGTTCTAGAGATATTATTTTTATGTACTTCTTAAACTCTTGTGACTGTTTACTATATTGTAACCTTCAATTGGGCAAAATACTGAATCAAAGGGCAAAATGTTTTCAGCAAGAACACCTCAGAAGGGCTAACTTACAGGATACTGGGAACCCATTGTTCCCAAGGGAACAAAATTTGGGGAATGTTTTGTCACCTTAGTGACACTGCATGGCTGCTGTTCAACACCACTGCCACATTGCTGCAGTGAACTATTAAGACATGATCCTCATTTTCAACATTCCTTGACAGCTTCCCCCTTCAGTGGGGATCTGCGAAGGAACTGATATAATTACCAACATTACTACACATCTTGCCATCCTTCCATTGACAAAATCTGCTTCTGGGAAGCTTGTAAGGCGAAATGAAGACGTGAAGAAATGGTCCAATTTCTCAAATTACCTATTGTTGCTTCTCAGAAATTAGGGCTTATGGAAATTACAATGCTATATGGGAATCAATGTCTACCTATAGTCCCTTGGTTACCAAAATAAAATTCAAGCTTGTTTGTTATTTCTGTCATAAGACCTTTTGAGCAAAAAGTAAATATTATCACAGTTTAGATATAAGTGCATTTTGAAATTTGTTCACAGTAATCTAACATAGCTCCAATAGGAAACAATCATTTGTCAGTAAGTACAAAGGCTTTGAGTAATGTATTTCTCCTGATTTTCTTTTCATTTAACAGGCAATTTAGCTTCTGATTTCAATTAACAATAAATTTTCAATGATAAGTCCTGAATCATAATCATAATTATAATAAAAAGGAGCTACTTTCATAACCATGGTTTAAAGCAGACTTATTTCAGATGCACAATAGAAGAGACTATATGTACTGTAGCTGAGGGATGAACAGCGGCATCCTTGGTGCTTTTTGAGCTTGCTTGTTGCTTGCAGACATTTCATTACCCAACTAGATAACTTCATTGATGCTAATGAATGTACTATTTTCTCAATGTTTATTTCCAGTCGTTTGCAAAGAGATATGTAACCCAGCTACATAGTAGTAAGATATCAATATTTGACATCACCTAATGGATGAAGCTAGTCTCTCAATCTTATTGAAGTTAAGTGCCGTGTAAGTGCTATTAACTGCAATAGAGATTAAGAATGTGTCCTGAATCTTTGTCAAGTCTTTTAAAATAGTACCTCTAAATTTCATCAAATTGGTTAAGATCTTTACAAAAGAAAGGTAGCATACTTGTAAAAGCAGTCAGCATTACTCAGAGCAGAATTGAAACAACTGAACTGAGAATGATTCAAGCACACTTTTCAGTGTAATGTACACACCAAGTATTTGTAAATACTTACCATTAAAAAACAGACTCACCTTTACTGCACAGTAATCAAAAAACCCAGTTTCAGAGAAGATAGCAACCAAAAGCATCTAGAAAGACAGAAATTTTTTAAAAGCTGGGCTGCCATGTTTGAATTTGCTTTACATAAGTAAATATGACTCTATTGGAGAATCTTTCAGATGAAACTGAGCATGCCATTTTCCTTGAGTGAACTAATGTCATTAAATGAATTCCAGAGCAGATTTTCAGTGCAAGTTATTTTTCAGAGTTGAAAACAATTGTTTGGGGGATTCTTTTTTTTTTTTTAGAATGAATAGGAATGTGCCTCCACTTTAGTGAAAGAACTTGAAACATAGTCATGAAGTGAGTAGATTATTACTAAATCTTTTTTTGGAAGTATTTCAGTTTTGGATGAACCCAATATTGGTACAGGTGTGGATCATTCCCATGCCAGTTAAAAGGAAAATTGCTAGCCATTGGGAGGCAGAAGCTGCAATTTTGGGATTAATGCTATATCCTTGCAACTTGCTAGTACTCTACCAGTGACTTTTATTTCTCTAATATTTCAAGTCTTCTGTGTACCCAATTATGTGCTCCTTCTGCCCTTTGCCTCACCCAATTGCACATTTTCAGGAAAACAGGTCATAGAAGGAGGACTCACTAAGTAAATGTTTCATGTACTATTATAAAACTCAGAAGCTCTTTGTAGCTCCCCATCCTCATTTCCACAAGTTCCGTTGTGAAGTGAGCTTCCCCCCCACCCCACCACAGATCCACCCAATTGGCAGACAGCAACAGACACCCTCAATCTCCTCAGTCTCAGTCCCAATTTCCACGTGATTTAACCATACACCTGGTGCAACCTAAATCCAACAGGGCCAACGTTCTCCCCTGGGTGCCCAATGAGGACACCACTAACTCCACCGGAATGGTCACAGGGACCACATGTTGACTTACCAGGGGGTCACTGTCAGAGTCTACCTATGTACATTTGAGTGAGTCTCATTCCCATTTTATCTAGCACTCCGGGGTGAAAATGCTGCTGATTTCCTGTTTTATATTCTCACAGGGGGTTACTATGGAACTAAATCATACCCAACTGTGTTTTATGCAGTAAAAGTATAACTATTTGTTGATTTTTTTTCACTTTAGTTAATGGGGAGATTTTCAAAGCAGATTTATTCATTTATACATAATAATTAACCCTAATGAGAAATACCACCAGGCCAAAGTCAAGAAATTTAAAAACTATAAGCATGTAAAGCGATAACTTGGACTTACAGCATGCATTCTCATCAACAGTATATAGTGAAAGAATGAAGATTGCTCTTTTTCAACAACTAGCTCAGAAACAGACATCCTTGAACTGATCTAAATTCAGTAAAGATCTAGTTGTGAATGGAGTGGTCTGCAGACTAGGAGATGATGTAGAAATAGTCTATCTCTGTAAAAGCTCTTGCAAATAGAGGTAGTTATCAGTATCTTTATTGGCAGCAAGATTCAGAATAACAAGAAGTGTTAGGAACAGATTTTTTGACTGGACCTGGCATTGCTCAACAGCTAGACTCACGGTGGTAAACTTACAGGGAAGATATAAACAAGTGCACCGGGTAATACATTTCTTTTCAGTGCTGGTTTGATGAGATATGCAATGCTACTTTTGATCCCTTTTTCTGAACCTCTAGTTCTTTTCTTCTTTGCTGATGAAAGAATGCTAGCTTGTGTGTGTGTGTGTGTATGTGTGTGTGTGTGTGTGTGTGTGTGTGTATACACATATAATATATACATACATACGTACGTACGTACGTACGTACATATGTATATATGTATATATGTATATATGTATATATGTATATATGTATATATGTATATATGTATATATGTATATATGTATATATGTATATNATACATACATACATACATACATACATACATACATACATACATACATACATACATACATACATACTAACAAACAAACAAACAAAATACCATTTTTGTAATACAAATAATTGAATATAGTTTTCAGTTTTGGAAAAAAACAATTTATAAAGTAATTATAAACAAAGCACATTCTTATTGTCATACTGTAACAAACTAGCAAATCTAAACAGATTCAGTAACTGGTTCACTATATTTTTAATCAAGTATGACTCAGTAGAGGTACATCAAGAAAGAGTTATACTAAATACAAGCACAGGAAGTCTTTGCTTATCAACTGCCTCATTTGATGACTGTTCACAACAACAACTATTGGAGGAAAAGCAGTTTTGAAATCAATTTATACCAATTGCAATGTCCCATAGTCCCATAATTGCTATTTATGTGCTTTTCAACTTCTGAGAAGCAGACTTAGTAGAGAACGCAGTTATAAATCACAAGTCACAATCACATAATGACTCAATAAACAATGGCGATGATTCACTTAGTGACCAAAGCAAAAGAGAGGTCATAGATCCACTGCAGACACATGATATTTCACTTTATGAATGCAGTGTCTAGCAACCAGGCTGCCAGTCCCAATTATGGTCAGTAAGTGAGAACAATTTGTACAGTGTTGCCTAAAAAGGCTGCCTGTGCATCAAAGCATATTGAGGAATGGTACTTCAGAACCTGTGAGAACGCAGGAAGAAGTACTTCTTTAAAACAGCCATATATCTGCACCTGAATATAAGACACTATTTTAAGGAGTCATATCAATGACATGCTATTTTAATGAGTTCAAATTTGTGCAGGTCTGAGAAAAGATGTGGTTGCTTTAAAGAGATACTGTGCTTGCATTCTCATATATCCTGCAACATCTCTTGTGAGTCACTTTCAAAGCATATTAAATCCTAAAACCAAAAAGCCAAGACAGTGGTTTATTTTTACACTGTAGTATCTTCTTTGAAATTTCCTTTACTAATGTGCAGACATACAGTATGTCTGAAGTCTTTAAGTCAGAAGAATTTCCTATGGTCTGTGAAGTTACCTGTGGCATATGCCAATGCTAAGATAATTATTTTACAAAACATTTTAGATTACATTCTGAGATCATTGACTATGGAGCACAAACTATTTAACACTATTGATCCTGCCCACTGTCCCTACAATATCACTCTGAGCTGAGCTGAATTAAACTACAATTATGTAAATTAGCCACAGCAATACTAAAACTTTTTCAAATTATAAAATATAGTCAGGTTTCTTAAAAATGTACCAGTATTTGAAAGTTTAAATGTTTAATGCAGAAAAGGGAAATAAATATATTATCAGGCAATTAGAAATATGTTATATCATGTCTTGTGCAAGATAAAAACAAAGGAATTTTACAGAACTTGGTACAGATTGGCTTTTAATAGAGTTTTTATGCTTTTATCTGTAACTGTCCAGAGTCACACTGAGAGTAAGATGAACAGTTTTTAAATTTTATAAACAAATTAAATCAATGAACCAATGAAAAATCTTATGAAAGTAATAAACCTTCCCATCAGTGTGCACAATTTTGGTTATTTGCATCCCATATAACGCAATTCCAATGTATGTCAATTCAGAAATGAATTCCATTGATTCTTTGGGACAATCCCAAGCATGTGGATATAGACTTGAAGTTTGGATAATAAGGTAGTTACCGTATATACTCGAGTATAGGCCGACCCGAATATAAGCCGAGGCACCTAATTTTACCACAAAAAACTGGAAAAGTTATTG